CAGACAGACAGACCAAGACAAAGGAGGAGGGAAAAGACAGATGGAATTCTTGTTCTTTCCCGTCCACCCCGAGTGTTTTGTCGCCCCCCACCCTTTTTAGTCCCTCTTTGCTACCCCAGCTGCACAGTCTCAGAGATCCAGCTCTTGGGGACCATCCCCTGAGGCCCTCTAAGAAGCAAAATGGGAAGGAGATACCCAGCAGGGAGAGCATTATGGGCGTAATGCCTGGTTCTCTGTCAGGATGCCCTGCCAGGGGCCAGGGAGGGCCTCGCCCGGTTCATGAGGACAGGAGACTCATTCACTGTAAACCAAGTACAGATGTGCTGGAAGGGGGAGGGGAGAATTAGGGTCACATTCACTAACCGCAGCTGGGCCCGCCCTCCTTCCACCAGCCACCACCAGGGCAGGAGGGGTTAATTTGGCAGCCTCCTGGCAGAATCCCTGCCACACAGGCGGGGCGCCATCCCACCCCAGCCTGGACGCCTGGTTCCAACTCTCTGACACCAGCTCCTCCCACACACTGCCGAGAGCTGCTCCCAGGGTAACCAGGCAAAGTCAACACCAGCCAGGCCACCTGGGGACGGGACCCTGGAGTACCTATTCCCAGCTCTTTCCACCCTGGAGTGAAAGGGAGGGCCTTGTCTGCACCCCCAATGACGTCTCCTGTTCTCCTGGGATCGTCACAGCATGCCCCTTCTCCCCCCCCCCCCGCCCCCCATCTGACTCTGGCTCCCAAAAGTGGCCTTTCCCTGGAGGGAGGACATCTGGCCCCCGGGTAGCAGCGAGGACAGAGCAAAGTAATTCCAGCACGGAAAATGTGACGTGACCAGGAGTCCGTGTCCCCAGTGCTGGTCACCCCGGGATTGTTGCTGGGGAAGGTCCTCAGGGTGCATCTCTCCGGTGGAGCCCAGCCCCTAAGACGGCTCCCTCTCTTTTCTCACTCCCACCCCTAATCCCAGCGGGTGTGTTTGGGGTCCGTGTCAAGAGCCGGGACGTCAGGATCTTTCTTCCCCTCCGTGTGTCACCAGCAGGACCGAGACGGAGGAGACTGACGCCCGGAGCTGCCCTTCGCGGGCCGAGAGCTCGCGGCGATCGAGGCGAAGTCAGAGGCCGCCCCCGCCCGCGCCGCCCCTGCCCGGCACACGTGCATGCGCCCCGGGAATCGGCAGGCTCGGGGCGCACCCACCGCATCCCCCGGCGGGCGCAGGCGGCCGCGCACCCCGGGCCGGGCAGTCTCCCCGCGCCCAGCCCCGGCTCCGCCCACTCGCGGCCGCGGTGCCGCCAGGTCTCCTCCCCCGTCGCTCCCCTCCCAGGGCCAAGCCTAAAGGTGGGGACGGCGTCGGCAGCCAGGGGGGCCGGGGCGCCCTAAGTCCTGGCGCCTATTCGAGGCAGAGGGAGAGGAAGGGGGGTCGTCCAGGCCGCAGCAGCCCCCCACGGCCCGCGCTGGCCTGACCCGTCTGCGCCCGGGCCGGAGGGTCCCCCGGGCGGGCGGGGGGCCGCGGGCACCCCCTGGCCCGCAGGTGACGGCTCCGCCAGTGCAGACACAGGGACGCCCGCTCGGCAGAGCCCGCCCGGCGCCCCCACTCGCGGGAGGCCGGGGTTCGGGCCGCTGCGCCTCCCCTGCGGGGCGGCCGGACTGGCCCCGCCGGCCCCGCCGGGCCCGAGAACCCGCCCGGCCCCCCAGATGGCAGAGGGCGCGCGCCGAGAGCGAGCGCGGCCAGGCCCGGGACGCGGACCCGCGGCCAGCCCGGCCGGCCTCCGGGGCCCGAGCCGCGGAAACACAACACGGGGGAGGGGCCGAGACCCAGGCGTCCGGGGCGCCCCGCCCCGCCCCCGCCCCCCCGCCCCGGGGCACCGCGGAGGGAGCCGGGCAGGGCAGGCGGCAGGGAGGGAGGAGCGAGGGCGGGCGGGGGGAGGGCGCGGGCTGGGAGGGAGATGGGGGGGTGGGGAGGGAGAAAAAGAAAGAAAATATTTTCCGTGTCCCCGCCTGCAGAGTCAGTGTGCGGTTTGGGAGAAAATGTGTCGGATATTTTGGGGCGGTCACGTGGGCGGGCGGGCTCCGAGAGGCCCCGGGACGGTCCCAGCCTAGAGCCCGCGCCCCCCCAGAGCCCCCCATTGCCGCGAGCCCCCGACGCCGCGACGCCTCATCCCCGCGACCGCCCGACGCCGGGACCTCGGGGCGCGCGGCCGCCCCCCCTCAGGTGAGTCGGGCGGGACGAGCCCCGCCGCCGCCCGCGAGCGCGTCCCGGGAGGTGGGCCGGGCGCGGGGCTGCAGGGGCTCCCGCCGTCGGGGGTCGGTTCTGACGCGAGAAGGGAAGGTTTGCGCCAGGCCGGGGCTGGGCCGGGCTGTCGCCTCCCTCTTCTGGCTGCGCTGAGTCGCGGGGGGGCTGGGGGTCTTCTGTCAGGGGCGCCCTTCCTACCCCGGAGCCGGGCGGGAGGGGAGCACGGGCCCCCGCGGGCACAGACCCCCGCGCGCCTCCCGCGCTCCGCGCTGCCCGGGAGGCCGAAGGTGGGCTTGTGGCCCCGGCTGGCCCGAGCGCCTCTTCCTGGCGCAATGGCACCGCTCGGGCATCCGAGGGGCAAGGAAGGGGCCGGAGGCCGGGGACCCCCGCCCTTGGGTCCGGGAGTGCGGAGCGACAAGTGGGTGGGACGGGATCTTCCAAGTGTCTTCAAAGCCACCGGCAGTTCAGGATCCCTCCCAAGTACTCCCACCCTCTGGTGCAAGTTTTGGCCGAGGAGGCGGGGGCTCCCCAGAACTATTCTTGAGGGGATCCCAAAAGGAACAAAGGAAAAGCAGGGCGACCGGGCAGCGATCCAGAAGTCCTGGCCCGGGAGCCCCGCAAGGAGGGATGCTGCTCTGTCTTGGCGGGTACAGCCCTGTCCCCTCGACCTGACCCCCTATGTCGGGGTCTCTGCAGGTGGCCACAGGGCCAGAAAGTGCTTGGGGGGGCAGGCCAGGGAACCCGAGGAGGGGTCTGTAGGGCAAGAGCAGAGGTGACTGTGCCCCTTCAGGCCCAGGGCCGTGGCAGCGTCAGTCCTTGGCTCCTGCCCTCACCAGTACCCCCGGGATGCTGGCTGAGGACCACAGGCAAGGTCCGCGTCCTGGCGTCCTGGCGGCAGGAGGGAGAGGACAGGGAAGGGGCCAGGGGGCAGTGGGAGTGAATGGGTGCCTGGAGTGTGGGTATCCAGAAGAGACACACACGCATACACACTGTGGCTTAGAGTAGCTAGTAGGTAGCACAGGGCACACCCCCACCCCGGCACACCCCCACCTCTGGCTCAGAAAGCCACCTAACTGGCACCTCCAGTTCCCCCTTCTGCCCCACCCTGCCCATGCCCTCCGATGCCCACACACATTCCACTGGCATTGCCTGCCTGCCTGCCTCCTGGGCACTGCCCCTCCCTGGGGCCAGTGGGGTGGAGGGAGGGCACCTGGGGATGAGAGGTGGAGACTCAAGGGTCTGGACTCCCCCAAGGGTGGCGTGAGGCCAGGGAAACCCAGCCCACTGCTGCCTCCTGGGGTTCCCTCTGGGGGCCCAGGCTAGAGCAGAGGATGCCTGGGTTCTCCTCCCAGGCTGAGGATGGGGTCATGGAAAAAGGTGGTCGTGTTTATACAGAGGGGAGGGGGGCGGCGGTGGAGAGCAGCCGACAAGAGCAGCTTTGTTCCAGACTCTGGGTCGGGCAGGGCTGCAGGGAGATGCCCCCCCCCCCAACCTCCATCCGGCAGCCCCTTCATCCATGCCCTCCCCTCAGCTCCACCTCAGCTCTAAGAGAAGCAGCTTTGTAAGGGCCCCTCTCCCCTGGTTGCCTGCTCCCCCTTCCATCTGAGGTGGCATCTTGGGAAGAGAGAAGTGTTCTCTTTCTTCCTCATGTTCCCTACAGAACCCGGCATCTGGGTTCCTAGTTTAGGGTTTCCTTTTACTCACGGTCTTCAGTTCCTTCATCTCTTCCTCTACCCTGGACTCACGAGACCCTCCCCTGCCCTGCCCATCCGAGGCAGAGAAACCAAGATTCTGAAACGGGGTGTGTGTCTGCCCCCTTCCTCTCTCCACTCAACTCTGGTCCCTTCTCCAAGGCAAAATAGGAAGAGGGCCTGGGGAAGCTGGGCTGTCCTTTGCTCATTTGCTGCGCCGTTCCCGGCAAGGACTCGGAGTCTGAGCATCCCTCTCCCGGGGCTTCGCGCTTTCCCCCACACCCTCTGCTTCCCATCTGAAGGTGAGAAGCAAAGATAATGAAGGTTGGAGCAGACGGCCTGGCTCCCAGTCTAAGCCAGTCTGGGGAAGATGGGGGGGGGGGTTGGGGGTGAGGGTTTTAGTAGCTCTTCACCCTTGGCATTGGAGGGGTTAATCCACCTGGAATGTGGCCCAGCCTGTTGAGCTATGGCCTAGGGGCCTCAGGGGCCCGGACTCCTGGCTCCACCTGGTCTTTACCAGGGATGAAGACTTCAGGGAACTGGGGAAGGAAAGGAGAGGGACCCTGGGGGTTCTGAGCTCAGACTTTTAGGGCCTGGGGAGACACTGAGCTGGAGATTCTGAGGGTGCTGGGGATCTGAGTGGTGCAGTGAGGGCTGGAGCTGCTTCATGCTCTGGGACTGAGTGGAGGGTTGTGGTGTGGGGGGTCTGAGTTCCTCAAACCTTCTTGACAGTTTACCCTCAGGAGCTTGAAGTCCTAGGTAGAGAGAGAGCAAAGAGAAAGTAAAACAAATAGCAGGGGTATAAGACTGAGAGATTTTGATTCTAGAAGGAAATACTGATGGACACAGATGCAGAAATACCCAACACCGAGTCTGGACCTGCTCATCCAGTGGTCTCTGGGTGCCCTACTCTCTCTTCATCCTTCTCCATCTCAGCCCATTATGTTTCTGGCTGGCAGAGGAGGTGCCAGGCTGGGAAGACTCTCCTTCCCTAACCCCTAACTCCCTGGGGTGGGGGTGGGGCTCTGCTGGCCCTGGGAAAACCAACCTTCCCCTTGTCAGAGCATCAGGAGAAGAACCACCCCTGAGACTTTAGGATTATAAATCTTCTCTCCCTTATGCCCCCACCTTTGGTTAAAAATTTCAGGGGCCTTGCTACCTTTAAGTGTGTGGCTGGGGTGGGGGGCGGGAATTAGGGAGGGTTTCCAAGGAACAGAGGACTCAGAGAGAAGAGGAGATGTAGGAACAAAGTGAGCTGAGGACAAGGAGATCAGAGATGGAACTCCCTGGCATCATACCTGGTGCACAGAAGGGGTTCCACTAACATCTGTGAATTTGAAGAAGGTATAAGAGAGTGTAGGGAGTGAGGGGAAACTGGAGACAGAGGAAGAATTAGGAGGGGAAGCTGGGAGAGGGAGTATGGGGGAAGAGAGAGGGAGAAGGAAATGCTAATTAAAAGAGGTATGGAGGAAGAGAAGGTACAAAGAGAAATAACATGAGACACTCACGTGGTATTCAGTGCTGCCCTGTTATTAGTCTGAGCACTTTATATGTACTAGATCACTTAATCCTCCCAACAACCTTATGAAGTAGGCCTTGTTTTTATTCCCATTTGACAGGTGAGGAAACTGAGGCACAGACAGAGTAAGTAGCACGTCCCTCCAAGCTCCCACAGCAAATAAGCTTTGGCGCTCAGCTTAGGGAGCCTGGCTCTCCAGGCTGTAACCCTGACCATCGCACTGCACTCCGCCGCAGGGAGGGGTCGGGTCCCAAGGTGACGAGAGAGATACATTTGCTTTTTCGGGGCAGAAGAGTTGGCATCTTGGCTCCACCACTTACAGCCAGTCACTAAACCTGTTTCCTCATCTGTGAAATGGGAATGAGTTTCTGCTTCATAGGATTGATGGAGGGCTAGATCAAGTGTCTCTCCCAGTCATGGAGCCCAATGGCTTCTTCACTCCGCAGCTTAGGAGGCCTCTCTGCCAGGAGCTCACCACCGGTCACCTGGGAAACTTGGCTTAGCTTTCCCTGGAGAGTTTCTCTGAGTCTGTGTAAGCACCTGCACTGTGTCAGCCTCTTCTACTGCCTGGTAGAGGACCTTGGGCCAGGGCAGCCCCATCCCCTGTACCCCTCCTACCCTTCAGGCAGCAGCATGGAGGGAAAAAATTCCAACTGAGAGGGCCCTGGGTCCCAGCACCTGAGTTACCATTCTCTCATTCTCTTTTTTTGCTCTTTCTCCCTAGGACGCTCGGAGACCCGCTCTGCTGGGCAGTCCAGGCGGGGTGGGCACGGAGCCTCCCAGGCCCGGGCAATGGGCATGGGCGGGGGCTGTGGCTGAAGACCTCCCCCGCCCACTGCAGACCCTGGGGGCCTCCCCCTCACTCACCACAGCTGCCATGGCCACCAATAAGGAGCGACTCTTTGCGGCTGGTGCCCTGGGGCCTGGATCTGGCTACCCAGGGGCTGGCTTCCCCTTTGCCTTCCCAGGAGCACTCAGGGGGTCTCCACCTTTCGAGATGCTGAGCCCTAGCTTCCGGGGCCTGGGCCAGCCTGACCTGCCCAAGGAGATGGCTTCTCTGTGTGAGTCTCAGGGATCTTGGGGGATGAGGGCAAGCGGGAAAGGGAGGGCATTTGGTGGGTGGATGCTAAAAAAAAATCAATCGGTAGCCCACTTAGGAAGGCACATGGAGATGGGGGAGGGGTGGGCGGGGTGGGGGTGTATGTGGAGCAAGTGAAAGTGTGCCAAGTGAGAGTCCTGCTTGACCAGGCTGGACAGCAGCATGTCTACACTTTGGGGGCCTAAAATGGCCTCCTGTATAAATCACCTGGCAAACGTGAGCACCTTTGCCTGGCAAGCCAAGGGTGGGTCTGGTGAAGTCTGAGACTGCTGCGTGCATGCAGTGGCAGGAATGGGGGTGGGGTGGGGGGGGGAGGCGGAGGGGTGGGGACCCAGGCTGGGAAGTGGAGGAGCCCGGGAGGCCAGTCAGCTGACAATGTGAGCAAGAGGTGAAATTGTTTTGAATTAGGGGAGGCTGTGACAAGAGGGAAGAAACCCAGCGCCAGGTGTCCAGAGACGTGGGGGTCAGGAGATTCTCTAGTTGGTTCTGGGGAGGGTGGAAACCGCCACAAAGAAGGTGGCTCTTGCACCATAAGTAATCTGGGAGGTGGAAGGGGTGTTCCAGAAGCATCCTCTCCTCTAGCCATGTGGGCTCTGGACTCCTCCCCTCCTTCCAGGCCTGGCATAGCGCCCACATGCTGTGCAGATCCCTACTTGCCCCTCAGGCCTGCCCTCTTTGGGCTAAGCCTTTGAGTGCTGACAGCAGGCAAGCCTTGGGCCTCTCCTCTTCCCTCTGGGTCCCTTCTCCTCCCGCTAGGTAGTTGCTCTTCCTGGCCAGGCCATTACAGGCATGAGCTGGAAGGCTGGGTGTTGGGTTCTGAGGGGTAGGCAGTCAGCACGTGAGTGAGCTGGTGTGGAGAAGGCCCCATCTGGGGAGAAGAGGAGGTGATGGAAGGAGAGGCAGAGATGCACAATTCCAGAGAGAGAGATTCCAGGATCTGGAGAGAAAATTACAAAGAGATTAAGAGGCATCCTCTGTAGGAGAAGGGCCCTGTCTTCAGGAGGGGGCACTCGGGAAGGTTGTGTGTTTGTGCACAGGGGTGACTGGAGGAGGCTGGCAGCTCTACTGGAAAGAGTGTGCTCATCTAGAGAAGGTGCGCGAGCGAGCGTGCGTGCGTGTGTGCACATGCGCATGTGTTAACACCATATGCAGTTTGGTGTGTTCACTCTGTCCCTGAGACTCTGATCATATGCAGAATTCCAGTGTGTACAACAAAGAGTCAGTGTGAGGAGTGAGGCAGTATTTAATGGGGCTGCTGACAGCGTGTCTGGCTGGTGTTCGGTGAGGCCTGCCGGTGGCATGTCTGTAGTCCAACAGGGGTTACTTGGGTGGCACATGGTGAACAAGCGAGCACAAAGTGCCCCTGTTTGGAAATTTCAGCTGGGCTTTCCCCCGACCTCATCTGCACCCCATGAATCTGTCTCAGGGCCTAGGGAGGTGGGAAGGAACCATCCTCTCCACATGAATGTGCTTCTTGCTGAGAACATACTACTTAATCCCTGGGGACTTGATTTTCCCAGGTTCTGGGGAGGCAACTGAAGTTGCTGGGGGAAGGAGAAAGGGAATGGAAGTAGGGAGTGGGAAGTGCTGAGAGCTGGGAGCCAGCCTCCTGTGCCCTGAACGCTTGGAGGTCAAGGTCAAGGTTCAAAGTGAGGTCAAGGAAAGGGAAGGGGTCAGACTGGGCCCCAGTCCCCAAAGACTGCCCTGAAGGGGGAGGGGGGGGCTGAAAGGAGAAATCCAAGGGAGGAGCCGAAGCCGGCACAGGTAAGGGGAGGGTGTGGCTGGCAGTAGGGGACAGGCCTGGGCAGAGAGGTTGGAGGCGCGGGGAGGAGGGGAAGACATAGGTCCAGGCAGCCTTCTTGGGAGTGGGGCTCGAAGCACCTAGTGGTAAATGAGGGAGGTAGGGGAGGGGGGGGAGAGAACCGCAGTCTGGGAACGCTCCGACTGCATGGGTGCAGCCAGAGGGTGAAAGGGTGCAGTCTCCTTTCTTGCTGTCCCTCATGACTTACTGTCCCTGTTTGGCTGGGGCCTGTTAATGGAGAGGGATTGGAGGCCTAAGCCACACTCTGTGTCTTTCTTCATCCGCTCTCTCTTACTTTCTGGGCAGGAGGGTGGTCTGTGGAGGAGTCTGGAATTTCTCCCTGTGGCTGACCCCTGGATCCTACTGCTCCGTCTCTGGCACCGTGGAAACATGCTCCTTGAGGGGGGAAGGCTTGCACTGTCTTGGGGTTTCCCAGGGGCCTGAGGCAGGCATTTCAGAACGTGGTGGTGGAGGATGGGAGAGGGGAAGGGAGCATGTGCTGCTGAGGCGAGTACAGGCCTGAGTGCAAGGGAAGTAGAGGCTCTTGTGTGTGTGTGCACACATGCTCGAGAGCGCGCATACGCGCACACTTGCATGAGAAGCTGGTGTCTGCATCCCTGTGTAGCTCTGTTTATAAACACTGGTGTGCTGCACGTTTGCTTTATGGAGACTACAGGGAACAGAATGTGATGGGAGGGAAGGGAAACCTCGTCCTCTCCCCCCTCTTGCTTGAGGGGTTATCTGGGGTCCTGCGAAGCTGGTCCAGTTTGTCCTCAGAACTGGATGCCAGTGTCCCCGGGCAAGGAGCTCTGACTGTGCCCCAGAGTCAGGTGGAGAAACAGGGTAGGCTTCTCCAGCAAGAAAAAGAATTCCGCATAAAAGAAACCGAAAAAGAGACTCACCGACCTAAATGAGATGACTGAGAATTATACAGGCCGAGACGGTGCAGCCACAGAGAGCCCAGACAGGGGGAGAGGCGAAAGAGCAAGCAGGCGGGTCAGGGTGGCCAGCGGGCGGCAGCGAGGCCTCCTCCAGGAAAGAGCCCCAGCCGACTGCCTCCTTTCCCCTCCCCTCCTGGTCTCTCCTCCTCAGGCTCGGGCTCCAGCTCCAGGCTGACACAAACGGGGCTTTGATTGCAACAGGAAACCTCTCTGGCGGGGGGAGCCGGGCAAGCCGCCGCCGCTGGGGCCCAGGCTGCACCCCCCTCTCCTGGCCCCCTACCCGGTCCCAGCCCCCATCCTGCCAGTGCTCCTTACGTCCCCGCTTTGGGCCAGGCCTTCACACCTCCCTATTCCCACCCCGCTTCTCTTGCTGTCCCCTCCTCCAGCCCCCTCCCACTGCCCTTCAGGTGGGACTCCGGAGCTGGGGCTTACCCATGGGGCGGGGCTTTCTTTGCTTTGAAATGCCCCCTTTTCAGTTTTTTGAGGGAGGCTTTTGGAAGAAAAAAGAATTTAGCATGAGGAATTCAAGCCAGTTATCCTCAAGCTCCATCCCGAGGTGGCAAGAGGTGGGGGATGGAGGGGTGCAGGAGTTTGCCATCCCTTCCCCCATAGTCCCTCATGGGCCAAACTCATCCTTGCCAGGGTGGTAGAGACTCCGAGGGGTGACCGGCCAGACCCAGTGCTGGCGGGTTCCCTGGTGGGGGTGGGGCAAACTTCTCCTCGCCTCTGGGGCATGCCTTTGTGGGACTCTAACTGGGAGGGGTATGCTATGGTGGTGGGGATCTTAGGGAAGGGGGTGAGTCAGGCAGCAGCCCCCCCTCATACTCCCACCAGGCTGGTGGAGAACATCTGGTTCCCATGAAATGCTAGAAGGCTAATGGGTCTAATTGCTGCAATAAGGGCTGGGGGGACTTTGGGGAAAAGAGGGGGCACTAGATTCCCCCATGCTCTTACCTTCTCCTCAAGATTGTGCTAAGACTGTCTAGAATGGGGGGCTGGGGTTGGTGGGAAGGGTGGGCCTTACACCCTGGTAGCTGGTGCCTTGTCAGGCCTCTTCTTGTAATGCCTGGGAAGCACGCAGATGGGGTAACGAAGAGTGGGGTGCATCTGGTGAAGAGAAAGGGGGGCTACTGAGGACTCATGACTTCCTGGAGCCCTCCCCCTACTCCTTCTGTGCCCCCCTCCCAACCCCCTCTCTGTGGCCTGGCCACTTCTGGTTCTAATTACCAACCAGGCAGGCCTGACTTAATTGGGACCTTTCAGATTTTGGAGGAGGGAAGAGGGGGGACGGCTGACAGCCTGGAGTTCACTGATCAGGGCTCTTTCCCCTGTTTTAGGGGTGCTCTCCATTTGGCCCTTAATTGACTTTTTTGCTTCTGGTCAGATTCTGATTCAAAAATCCGTCGCCTTGTTTTTGGGGCGGGGGAATGGCTGGATTCAGAAATGGGGTATCCGAGGGTGGGGGCAAGAGCAGCCGGGCTGGAAAGAGCACGGCCTTCCCTCTGGAACCCGCTTCCAGCCCCCCGTCAGCCCTGCCACTCCGCGCCGCCACCCCCACCCGCGGGGCCGGCCCCCCTGCGCAGCCCTGCCCACCCCACCCCCCCTCCCCGGTCCCCGGCCGCCACCCCGCCCCTCCTCCGCGCCGGCCTCCCCTCCCCTCCCCTGCTCTGGCACCCCTTCCTGTTCTTTATTCTTCCAAACTGGCGCCCCACTCCTGCTGCACCCCAGTGCGCCCCCCGCCCGGTACAACAGATTCTTAGAAAAGCGCGCCCCGCCCTGGCCCGGCCGGCGGGGGAAGGGGCCGGGCCGGGCGCCGCTCCCGCTCCCCGGGCGCCCGCGCGCGGCGCTGACAGAGCCGGCTGGGCCTGCCGGGCGGGCGGGCGCGCGGGCGGGGCGCGGGGGGGCGGTTTCCGGGAGTCGCCGGCGCTGGCGCTGTCCGGGGGCCAGGGTCCCCGGCTCGGCCCGGCCGGCCAGGGCGAGCTCCTGACGTGGCCACCCCCGCCCTCCCCCTCGCCGCCGAGCGCGGGCACGGGGTGCCCGGAAGGGGCAGCCGGAGCCGCGAGGCGCGCCCCGGAGCCCCGAAGGGCCCGAGCGTGGCCCCGAAGGGGCGCCGCTCCGAGCCCGGGCAGCTCCGCCCGCGGCGGCCCCGCTGTCGGCGCCCGCGGCGCGGCGGCTCCGGGGGCGGCAGGGGCGCGGGCGGCAGCGGGGCGCGGCGCGGGG